CCCCACCCCCAAGTAATATATACCATATTTCTAGATCAAAACAAATAACCCCAATCACACACTTTCTTCTTCTCCAAAACTTACATCATTACAAACCCAAAATATTCCAAGAAATGGGTTTCATTTCAAGTGAGAAAAAAAGCCAATTGGAACAGACTCGATGGGTTTTAACTGAAGTTGTACACGTTACGACAGATGGATACGGATCTGATATTGTCGAAGAATGCTCAAACGATCTCTCCAATTCTTTAGAATCATCTTCTTCATCTGAAATGCTAGACAACACATCAACATCATCATCATTGGCATCGTCATCTTCAGTATTGTCTCACACTGGTCCACTGTACGAGCTATCTGAGCTCATGAAACAGTTACCTATCAAGTAAGATTTCGTTTAACGTTTAATTTACAATGTAAACAATATCTTGGTTTTTTTCCCCTCATAACATTCTCCGATTAAACCACAAAAATTCAATTTCAACCCTGACCCTCTTTATATTCTTTTATGTTAAATAAAGAACACTGGTGATTTCGGTTCTCTTAACAGAAATCCTCTTATTTTCATATCAGTATTTATTAATGCTGTGTTACAGTACAACTTGTAAAGCCTGACGTACTTGTACTTTATGCAGAAGGGGCCTATCAAAATACTATCAAGGGAAATCTGAGTCATTTGGATCACTTGCAAATTTGAAGAGCTTTCAAGATCTTGCAAAGAGATCAAGATGGTCAACAAAATCACCATTCAGAAGTCAAAGTCAAAATCAAACATTAATTCCTAAAGGCATTATTGTCAAGAACAAGAAGAATTCTCTATTCTCATCACTTGGAAAAATAAAAATGGATTCTTTATTAGACACCATTTCTGTACAAAACCATTTTTGATAGATATCACATTTGTTTATTTATTTATTTTTTTTAAAATTTTTGTATATGGGTTTTAATTTTTATCTGTTTAAAGAGATGTAACGTTTTTTGTTCTGAGTTACTTTTAATAATACATTATTCCTTTTTAATAAATAATGAATCTGAAAACATAAACGGATTTGCATACCGGAGGTGCAAGCATAATTAATCGAATTTGCATCAGAAGTTGTTGGAGCATATTTACATATAATATTGCTTAGAAATATATATATATATATATATATATAAGTAACTTTTGGAAAAAGAATATATTAATTTGAGGACAAAATAAAATTCATAAAATTGGAACTTTATTTAATCATGATTGAACAAAGGTGTGACAAGGCAACCACGAGGACGAGTTTCCGACCACTAAAAATAATTCATTTTATAGACATCCCTTAATTTAATTTGTGGCTCAAATTTGTTGCTTTTATTAAAAGAATGGAAATTTAAATGTTTGTCCCTCCAAAAAGCATCAAATCTATTCTTTTTTAATTAAATAAAAACATATTTTTTTAATTAACCTGGATATCCAACCCGTTGTACGAGTCGACTAATCCCAGGATGACCCCCAAGTTTCAAATGTAAAAAAAGATTAACATAAACATATATGAAAGTATACCTTCAATTATAGTTTTTGATAAATACAAAATATGTAATTTTATTCTATATCGGTTCTTATAAGTTTATAACTTTTTTTGTTCTCATTTGATATTATATATATATATATATATATATATATATATATATATATATATATATATTGGGTTCTGATGAGAAAGAAAGTTATGATAAAAAAATGTAAAAATAGATCTCCCAATTAGATCAATCTTAATTGAATGTCAACACTAATAAGATGTACTTAGATGCATCATATCAATTCTTTTCTAAAACGCAATTCATAAATGGAGATATTAAAAATGATCAAGGGTTCAAATATCTTCTTACGTTTTTCTCCATAACTTGCCCTTATCACATAATCAAATAAGAGAAAAACGAAAATGTCTTAATCACATGTGATTTTATACTAAAATCAAGTGTAAAAATCACATGTGATTTTTACACAACTTTGACCATGACCAAAAATTGTGGGTCAGGTCGTCCGCTCACTCTTACGTTGATCATGTTCTAAATCACATATAAAATCTCATGTAATTCATGTGTTTTAATCGTTTTTTTTATCTTAATTATGTTATCGTTTAATCCTCTCTCTTTATATATATATATATATATATAGAGAGAGAGAGAGAGAGAGAGAGAGGTGAGTTATTATACAACCATTTACATTTRTACAACCAATATAACTCAATTTCAACCGTCCATTTAATTTGATAAATATGTAATTTCATAAAAGTTTTTATTGTTTCCAAATATAAAATATTGATCATAATTAATGAACTCTCATTATTTTCATAAATATTTTAATTAATTATGTTGCATTGGTTGTACAAATAGACAATATTACATTTGAAATATTATATATATATATATAGAGAGAGAGAGAGAGAGACAGAGAGAGAGGGGTTGGTTCAAATACTAACCCATTTTTTTGTGTTAACTATGCTAACCAACATCAACCAATCATGTTCCATCTTTTAGTTAGGTTCAAAT